AGCTAAAAATTATGGTAACCTGTGTTTGTACCATGCATGGTATTTTGTGAATGGTTTTGGTTGAGCAACAAACTCAGTGTTATTTTCTATTTATGATGACACCAAATGTTGAGTGCTACTTTGATATGTTGTGTTGAGGATACAGTCAATGTCTGCTCTTGATTTTGATGTAAAACAGACAGGAAAATCCAGTTTTGCACAGATAATGTAGGGTGAAAGGCACCAGCACTGCAAGAGCATTTTTTGCCAGGAGACGTTTCCAATTTGAAGAAGCCCAGAATTGCTCCAGACGACTATCAGGGAACCCATTTTGATTCTACAATGATTCTCAGATTGATGAAATCTTCTTTGATGTCACTGTCATCATTAACACTACACAAGAGTTTCCTTAATAAACCATCCCTAATGATTCTGTATCCTCACATCCCTTAGGAACTGATAGTGCACCCTAAGGAGTGTGAACGAACCCTTGTTAAGAACCATTGTTAAGATGTTTTAAGGCATACAAAAACAATTCAGGAATATTGTCAAGAAATATTTAGCCAAACAAGAGTGTTTGGTTGATAATTTCACTTCACCTTGAAAAACCTACCATAAACATGATCTCTGGTGTTGGAGACTCAAGAGACCGTAATCAGTCAGTTATGTGCCATGCATGATACATGCTTAGCGATCATGTATCTTTCAATATATGATTGACGAGGCAGATTTTTTCCTACAGTAGGTTGCCATTTCTTTCTACAGTAGACCAGTTGCCATCCAAAGCTATAGAACCTGGTCTGTCCTGCTATTTACCCATAATTGGGGGGGGGAGAAGAGGAGGATTCATACCTTTCTCAAAGGTATTAGCATATAAGTGAATGTAATGGCTCCAAGTTTTGATAATAGTTTGTGGGCTACAGATAACCAATTTCATATTATTATTATTTTTTTTTTTATTTAGACCAGCACTTTTATTGTAGTTACTTATACTTTCCAAGAAAGCCAGAACATACACCAGCCAAACAGTATAACAATGAAAGTATAACCATGAAGGTATAAAACAATTAAGAGGAGTAACTGGTTCAAATAAAAAAAGCATATAATAATCTGGTTCCCAAAAACTTTATGAATTAAATTTTTCTACTAGGCTGGCATTTGCTCACACCCTTTCACTGTCAAAACTGTTAAATGTAGCTGTCTCTTCTACTCAATAGCTTCATGTCTTTCACCTCTCATCTGTGGAACTCCTTCCCCTCTTCCTGTTTCCCTGATAGCTATAATCTCCAACTATTCAAATGTAATGTCAATCGCCTTGATCTATCCCCTATCCTTCTCTTCATTCTTTCCTCTATCACTCGTATTTGCTCTAGCTCCAACTCTCTGTAACCTCTTGCATGCTAGTGGCTTCCTGCCTTGCTTTAGGGTGAAATGCTTAAAAAAAAAAATAATAATAATTATTTTTCATCTAAGAATTTCTGACAAAATGTATCAGATAATCCAATTTAGAATAAATTTAAAGAGTATTTAGCTAACAAATATCGAAACAATTTATTAGGGGATTCTGGTCACTTCACAACCTCGATAGTGTAATATACAATGTGATGTTTTTCTTAGTAAAATTATTTGGAAGAAAAAAACTGCTTGTTATATGACATACATTACAGTATTTTTTTTTCCTTTTATAAAAACTACAAATTTATTTTTAGTCTGAAAAGAGTATGTAATTTATTAAAGCAGATGTTAGCTATAAATAATGGAAAAAAAAAATAATGAGTACCCAGAATGTGACATCAGTAAACCTGAGGTTTTTCCAGGTTCTTTTCTTTAAGTCTGTTATCTCCACCCATTCTATCCTCTCCTCCTAACCCTTATGCTTTCTTTTTTTTTTTTTTTAGCACCGTTCTGAGAATTTTCACTTGGACTTTGAATCAGCTGCATAAATAACACTGCCGTCCCCTACTGTTGAAACCCCCACCTAATTTGCCTGTATTTCTGTCACAATTTCTTCATTGCTAACATACCTCTTGGTAGTGCCTGGCCCTCTTTAAAGTTCCATCTCGGTTATTCACCATTTGAGGAATAAAAGACGCCTCTGCCATCAGTCAAAACAGATGTACATTTGTTGAGATTTTGTTCATTTTAACGGAAATGCATTATGTACACATTGGATTTTTAGCATCAAAAACAAATAATGGACTTTCTTTTTTTTTTTTTGTTGTTGTTGTTGTTCTGCCATGAAAGAAAGTTAATGATGACTCAGATAAAAAAAGTTCATTGGTTAACTTTGCATAAAACTGTACCATAAATAATAGATGAAAACTTGATTTATTTCCATTGTATGCATCTCATTTTTCGGGTCAATAATATTTATATTGACATGATCTTTAAAACTGGTTCCTGGAACAAACTGTATTGTTTACACTATTTAAATTGTCCAGGCTGTTGTCCCTCATCTTTATTATCACATTCACAACATTTCGGCCATTGTACGCTCCAGCCTTCTTCAGGTGAGATATACTGGAATTTCAAACTGATACCTTTTATTTCACACAGGTAGATTATTCTAGTTTCAAGGACACATGGACCAGTAGATAAAAGCATTGGTTAAAGTAATCCAATGACTTGAACCAAAGAGTTGTGAGTTCAATACCTGGCCACAAAAGAGGTGAACTAAAAAAAAAAAGCAAAAAAACAAACTTGGAGAGTTGAGTTACTAAAGGAATTAACTGAAACTGTGATATCCAGAAAAGGCATGGCATGTGGAATTAGAACAATCTACCTTCGCGGAATAAATAAAAGTTCGGTTTGGAATTCCAACATATATCACATGGAGAATGACAGATATTTCAAAACGTCTGAAACATTGTCATGGATTGTCATATTCACAGTGTAAATAGTATTATTTTTAAAATTACCTCATTCAGAAAAAGAAGACAGATAAAAAAAAATATTTATTGATGCAATTTAAACACAATAGAATTAGTATTAACCAGAGATTTATTGAGAAAATGGTTCAAGACAGTAATTCAATCAAACAATATCCTGTGTTAGTTCCAGCTTATAAAATTCAAATCTTTATAACACTTGAAATAATTGATCATTTGATTCACAGGAAACAACTTAGTAGAGACTTCCCCACTCTTTTTTCAACAAATTTCAATATATCACCATCACCATTTTGGACAATTTTTTTTTTTTTTTTTTGGTATGAGTAGTGGTGGTTCACTTTTTGCTTGCTCCATGACCTTTAACATTGTTCAAAAGTATCCAATTTTTTATCACTTGTCACGCTTTTTTTTTTACATGGTTCAGTAGTTTTTTTTTTTTTTACTTTTATGTGAAGATCATACATCAGTAATTAACATAAACAAGCAGGTGCAAATGATTTTGAAGTTTGAGATATTAAAAAAATGTTAACTATCACTTGCATTCTTGTGTAATGTATTCATTTGATCCAAAAAGAATTATTTCTAAAATCCAAAGCTTTTTAAATAACCCTACATAAGCCATAAAAATATGAATCAATCAATCAATAGTCACCATCAACTTTGTCTACCTAACCATCAATTAGTGAAAAATCTCCACTTTAATCCTTTCAGTCATTTACACTATCTTTTCCATAAACTACAAATATCTGTTTTGTATTTAACCTACATTTTCCTTCCTTAAATAAAAACAATGTATAATCTGCTGAAAATATTTCTTATTTATTTGTCTTCAATGAATAAACAAGAATGTGCCAATTTTGGCAAAATCTCTCTTTCTTTTCTTTTAAAAAAAAATGGTCACTAATACATCTGTCACAATACAAATAAAAGTAACCTTTTCAGATTAAATTAATTAGAACTAGGCACTCTTAATTCCATCTAATGAAAAGAATAGAACAAATGTTTTGGCCAACATATTAGCACTGTTTTTTTACATGTCTTTTAAGAATTAAATCTCTTAGATGTTGGTAATTATGTCCTTGGATACTAAAACATATTAACAATACTATAAAAAGAAATTGAAAAAATGAACAGTCTTCTTTATTACAACATGTATTTGGAATATTAACCAAATTCTAATCTCCTTGTTTATTTGGTTCCAATTGTTTATTGATCTGTACTTTTATTGTCCTTTCTCCTCAATAATGTTTTCTCAGTTTCTTTCACTCTCAGTAACCCCTTACATCTCAGTGGCTTTATTGCCTTGCTTGGAGTTAAATGATTAAAAGAACACCTAAGATCAATGAGCGTTATAAAACTACCAAAAAACAATATTTGAAAGCATAATAACAATTCACCATTGATTTTGAACTGTGGTCTGGATTTGTATTTATTTTTTATTTGCATGAAATGTCATTAGAATTTTGAAAATTGAATGTTTTCATTTGAATTTTTGAGCAAAATACATCCACTGTCTCATCAGTCTACTTTGAATTATCAAATCTTGTTTAAATTCAGAATCCTGTCAACGGCATCAGTGATGTATTTAAACGCCGAGCACAGTCAGGAAATGAGTCTCCTTTCACACAACAAGTGGTCAATAATGGACCTTCCTCCCGGGAGCCATGAGCCTCACCCGACGTAGATAAACCAAGTCAAATTTGTAAGTTTGTCTCCACATGACCATTTTTTTTTTTACATTTTTTTTTTTCTTCTTCTTTTTTTTTTTTTTTCTTTTCTTTTCTTTTTTTTTTTTTTTTTTTTTTTCTTTTTTTTTTTTTTTTTTTTTTCTTTTTTTCTTTTTTCATTTTTTTTTTTTTTTTTTTTTCTTTTTCTTTTTTTTCTTTTTTTTTTTTCTTTTTTTTTCTTTTTCTTCTTTTCTTTTGCTAATTGAGAGGCTGCAGAGAAATATACTTTTAAAATTTGTTCTTCTTACATTGTGTTTTTTGTTTTTTTTTTAATCTATTCTCACTTGTTTTTTTCATAATTATCTCTTGGTTTTCCCTAAACTTTCTAATCATTTCACTCTCAATCCCTCTATCACTCTAGTTGTTAGACTCCCAAATTCTTTCTATCACATCATTTTTTTAGCTTTATTTACTCTCCTTGTCTCTGCCCTCCTCATTTTTCTTCAACTCTGTCTCACTCTTCCTTTTTAACACTTGTCCCATCTCTCTCTACTGTTTCTCCCCACCTTCTCTCAACTTCTCCTTTCTCTGTTCCTCTTTCAGCAATCCCAAGCTCTCTTCTTTTTTTTTAACTCCTCTTAGCCGCCTGTCTCTTATTTATTTTTTATTTCAATACTTACACATTTCTACATTTATTCTCAAAATCTAAAAATACTAATTTCATTCTTAGTAAATAGGTGATCTTTTAATGCAAAATGAATGGTAAATGTCATTTCAGAAATAAAACTTTTCTCGTAGTTTTCGTCTGCTTTAATGATCATTCATGAATGCAACTTCAATCTTTATTCTCAGTCACCTTGATAATTGATAACAATTTAAAGTTATTTTACACACTGTATATCTATCTATCTATCTATCTATCTATCTATCTATAGTGGACATTTACATGTATTTCTTCAACTTAAATTGCTTCATACAAAATGTTAAATACTATGTTTGGCTTGGTTTTTCTCTTGGAACTTTTCCCAGGAATACAGCCAATCATTTAAGTGCAATAAACGTCTTTGTGTTTGCCAGACTTGATTAATTGAACTAAATCTGCTTACATTAATTTTTTTGTTTGCATTACCTTAAAATCAAGGACATTTTTCCTAACAAAGATAAAATCTTTTTTTTTTTTTTTTTTTTGTTAATCATTAACAAAAAGAAAATAGAAATTTTTTATCTAATAAAAAAAAAAAATCTTGTTAGTTTTGCAAAAGTTTAATTATTTCAAAATTTCCTGAGGAATTGGACAATGGTCTTTTCTGTTAAGACAAAATAATTCTAAATAATTTTACTCTGCTTGCTTGCTCACAAAGGGAAACTATTTAAACAGCTTCTGTTGTTTTTTAAATTGGCATAAAAAGATGTTTTACTCAACTTACAGGTATGAATAACAGCTGATTTTTGTTTTAAGTTCCCAGAGAATATTTTTAGCATCAAAACAAAATTTAATCTTAATTCTTACAAAAGAATACCTTCTGAATTATTTGTTCTTTTAATTAAAGATAATCCTGTGTCTGTTGATTTTTTTATGGTACAGATGATTAAATTTCATTGTTTTTATCTGTCCATTAATTTTTTTTTTGTTAAAAATTCCCTTCATATCAATGTATTTAGCTGTTGAAAAATTTCCTCTGTTCAAATTTATATTAAAATTTTCAATTTTCTTTGTCGTGCAAATTATAAAAACGTTTTACCACAATACATATAAATGTTTTTTGTTTTTTGCTCACATTTTGAGAATATTTTTCTTCAAAGCTAAATTTTATTTTCAAAGTTTTTAAATTTATATGATTAACTATTGAAATGGTCTCCACTCACATTTTAAATTGTTGGTTTTACTGTAAATTTTCATGTTGAAAAAATGTCATTTGTTGTACAGAAAAGACATAAATTACTATGTACTTCTAGTATAGTTTTATCCTGCTGCAAGACACTTTGATTAATACATACAAGCTGTGGGAGAACTATCCATGTGTGTGTGTGTCTGATAAACTCCTTTTATAAATGTTTTTTTTTTTTATGTATGCATACAGATTTTAGTATTAAAAAAAGTGGGTCCTAGAAATTTTAAACACATATGCCTGTGTGTGTTTATATATATATATGTGTGTGTGTCTATTTGAATTTTGTGTATATGTTTTTGTTTTTTTTACATGTGTATGTTTTATATATATATGTATGTTCATGTTTTATATAATGTGTGTGTGTGTGTGTCAGTATATGTGTTATATATGTGTCTGTGTTTGTATATGTGTCATGTGTGTGTATATGTTTGTAATTGATCCATACATTGGAGGTATTTGAAGTGTTTGGCATTTACAAATTCCTCAACCTGAATTTCATGATGGATCCAGGATAGTTGCCATCACAGCTTTTATTCCAATTCAGATCATTTCTCCTGTGTTGTAAAGGTTTATCTTTAATCCTATTTTTTGAAATACTTAGTATAAGATGCTGATTTTTTTTTGTTCAAGATAATTCTTATCCCAACTATGAATACCATTTTTATCATTAATTTGATTCTTGAATATTTACATAAGTTTAGTTTTAAAATTAAAATTTGAATCTTCCCTAAATTTTTTCAAGTTTTTTGCCACCCACCTTACCAAACTTTCCTCCATGATAGAAAAATTAAGGTTTGAACTAATTAATCTTTTTTCTCACTCATTAGTTTAAGGAGATAATAAAAAAAAAAAAAAATAACCTTTTAAATTTAATTTCTGTATCTATTTTAGAAATTAATAATAAATATTTAGAAAGAAAAAAAAAGTCTGTTAATTTTTATACAAATGCTTTTAATGTAGGAAAAATTAAGTTTCTATTTTTTTTTTTTTTTTTTATTTGTTTTCCAGAAATCAAAATGAATTACTTGACAGAAATTTTCAATTAAACATTCAATATTTTAAAAAAAATAAAATTTGTTAACTTTTTATTAGAGTCAATTTCAGAACATTTTTTCTGTTATAAAAACCCAGATTGTGTGTGTGTGTCTGTAACGTTTATATATTGGATCAGATTTCCTACATTTTTCAACCCGATTTCAACAAAACTTCACAGGACTACATAAAATTACCTTGTGGTGGTTCTAACAGTGCCAAAAAATGGGAAAAATATAATTGTTTTTGCACAGAATCAATTTGAAAAACACGATTAAGAGACATCGTGAAAATGGAAGGGGACAACTCACATCGGATTGTTTGTGTGTGTGGGTTCCTTTAAATATGGGGATGGATTTCCTATATTTTTCAGCCGATAAAACAAAACTTCACTTTTTTTTTAAAAAATTCCATTTACAAGACAATTATTTATAATCGGACATTCAAAACAAACAATCGATTGAAAACAATGTTTTGTTTGAGTTTTTTTTCTCAAAGAAATTCAAAAAAAAAAAACTAAATAAAAGCCATATTTAAATTGTTAAGCTTAAAATTATAATCTAACGCCTTAATAACTGATTGTATAAATATAATAATTAATTTTTTTAAAAATTTTTGGGAAAGATAATGAAACTGTTAAACATAAAACTCAGTCAAATAACGATAAATTTTATTTGAGAGTTTTGAATTTAAATACACTTATTGTCCATTTTTTTTATGATTTCAATTTATTTAATTTTGGATGTCTGTTTCTTTCCTCCATATTTTTGCAATTTGGGGATCTCATATATATATTTATATATATATATATATATATATATATTGTAAAATTCTCATCTTCGCCCCAAATAAAATATTTATATTGATTGTGTAATCATTTCTTTTCATCTTTCTTTTGCTCTATATTTCTATAAACTACAATTTGATATATGTTTAACCTTTTATCGGTGTTTTCAATCTTTCCTCATTGCCTCTTACAATCAACAAACCTGTCCATTAAAAATTTTTTTTTTCAAAACCTGATCTTCCTTTTTTTTTAAGGAATTTTTTCTTTTTGACAAAATATCCTAATTTTCTGATTTTTGAAAAATACTGCATATTTGGTTAAGTAAGAAACTTTTGTTTTTAAATTTTTTTTTTTTTTTTTTACTGAAGGTCGACTAGGAATTTTAGGGACAAGTTTTTTGTCTTAATATGTTCGCTATGTAAAGACAAATATCATATGGCAATTTTAATATTAATAAAATCGGTTGCAAAAAGAAATACGGTTAAAAGACAAATCTTTACCAAATTCTTGCATTAACCATTTTAAATATGTCTGAAAATATATAAACCAAAATGTTAAAGACACGTAAAATTCTTTCCCAAAATTTTAAACAGTCATTGAACCGGCATTTGTTTTCAATGTGAAAAATCCATGACATAATCTGACTTCTTTGTTTCTCACAATATATATTCTAGTTGCTATGAATTAAATTAAATTTCAAAAAAATGTTAGAAAAATGACATCCACAATAAATTTATATTCTTGTCAATATTACCAAACTCTCCAATAAAAGTAAAAAACAACGATGCAAAATTGAAAGAATTTAAAACAACGTCGCCATGCTCTAATTTGCAAATTGATGTTACTCAGAAAAAACTGTATTCTTCATTTTTTTTTACATCCTTTTGCAGAAAAGGTTTTCATTTTCATAATTACTTTACTGAATGTAATGAATTTCTTTTTTAAATAAATAAATTACAGTTTAAAAAAAAAACAGCCTTATTCCCTATTCCGGTTTTTAAACTGGTTTTAGTAAAAGTCCCCGAAAAACTGGATATTTCATGAAAGACAATGCCTTTAAGACGTCGGATCCCAATGAAATAAACTTTTTGATTCAAAACAAAAATATATAATTATACATATATATATATTGCAAATAGTGGATTAAAATCTGGAAGTTGTTTTTATGAGTTTGGAAGCGGTTGGAAAACAAAAATGATAATATTGAGTATATGAAGGGGCAAGAAAAATGCTGGACAAACGTATTTTATAATTTAAGATTAAAATAAAATTTTTCATTTAAAATAAACTCTATTTTAGAAACGCAGCGCTGTTATTTTCTTTACTTTGAAAGTGTTATTTTTGGGGTTCATAAAAGGAACGCTGATCTTAAAAATTTAGATGTCTTATTCTGTTTTACAATTAATTTAATTTGATCTTTGTTCGTGATTTGAATATCGTCTATTTTAATTTATGTTTTAATAAAATAGTTGATTAGGTCTTCTAGAACGAAAACGTCTATACTAAACATTGAAGCAACATTAAAACAGCATAAGTTTACTTTTCAGTTTGTTTTTTTAATTTTTCTTCTATATATATATATATATATATATATATATAAATATATAAAATATATATATACATATGATTTACATACAAATATAATATATATATATATTAATCATATATCCAATATATTATAAACACAAAACATAGAAAACATAATTTACATGAAAATAAAATCCTATTTAATCAGAAGTATCGAGTTTGATCCCTTGAATCAATCGCTTGAAAACATAATTTTGCATTAAAATTTGATGTTAAATCCATACTTACGGACAGTACTTCACAATTAATTCTGGCATATTTTTTCCTTATAAATAAATCGTCTCAAGTTTTTATTTTATATTGAATAAAAAGTATCAAATCAATCCATGATACATAAAAAAATTCCTATAAAAAATTACTACTATGACATTTACACTATATTGTTGAACACTATATACTTGGTTCATGACATAAAAACTAATACCTTGTAAAAATAGAATACGTGGATTTAACACATCACCAAGAAATATTTAAATAAAATTCTCCTTAAAAAATTTTGAAAAACTTAGCGTTGCGTCTTTGCGCGTTCCGATATCTTACAACCGTCAATAATAGCAGATATTCAAAAAAACATCTTTCGGTCGACACACAGATATATCGTCTCAAGTTTTTGATTTTATAAAAAAAAAAACACATGCCCTGATGATGGATGGAGACCGTCCGTAAGTACTAACATTTTAACATCAAAT